CATGAAACAATCCTTTAATAAACTTCGGATTTTTCGGTTTTTTCGGAATAATTCAGAGCGTAATGCATCATTTCAAAACTTGTTTGCGTTCTTTCACACAAATGTCTTATGAGTGAACGTAGCGATGCTTTCATCATCACGACCATTCAAAGTGTGTGCTTAATGTTAAGCATATAATCAGTTACTAGCAATCCGAAATGTAAGCAAAACAAACCGATACACACTTATGAGTGCTCTTCAATAGATGACTGACTGCATGATTATAAATTTCTGAACATTGTCTTGTCAAAGGAGCATCAAAGCAAAAACTTGAAGAGATGCGTGACATGTGTAAACACAGCGCATACTTCAATGCATATATCCACCGAAACGTCGTCAAAATGCATCATCCTCGGCAAGAAATGAAGCTAAAAGAACAAATGAATGAAAGCCAACAACACCAGATAGATCAATATCAGTCGGCAGTGGCGGCGGCACATCAGTCATTCATTTGGCATATGCAAGGAACAAGAACGAACGCCTTACTGCTCACGCTCATCGTTCCAGTGATATTCGTCGATAAACATTTCTCTTTGTGACTATATTCCAGAAAGTAGAATGCCAACGGAAATTTGCACTCGATGAACGTTGTCTTCTATGTGTGCCGATATGTGCCCATTAAGCAGATTCATCACTTATTCACTCGTCATGACAGCCTTTCCTCTACCAAGCCATTATATTTGCTGATATGCCACAGTCGGTGCAAAAAGCAAAAATCACTCCTCATTAGTACAGACAGCCACACAAAAACATTTCCGTTCTGATTACTGCTTTTCAGTGCCGCAGAGTCGCGCTATCATCCGTCAGTAATCCATCACTTAAACAACCCCGAATACCCTCCTCCAACCGAACAGCACACGATTCGTTTCCATTGAAAGTGCTGTGTCAATGTGAAGGTGTCGTGTTTTCATGGTGGTTTTTTACTTACAATTGCTTGTGCTATTCAACTTGCTCGCAACACAGACCGACTCTGCGTGTGCTTACTGAAAATTGCGTGTTCGCCTGAATCTTGGCGCTTGCTTTCAGTTCAGTTCAGAGCATTAGTGGGTCCAATTCATTAATCTCTAGGGAGACTAGTTAGTTGACTGAGTAATTAGACGCTTCCAATTTTAGCAACAACTGACAATATTCAAATGAGTTTATTTAGAATTCGTTCGGTCTTGTGTTTTGCATTGCTTTTCTTTTCAATTAGTCTCGTGGATGCATAAAAGCTTTTTTTGTTTAACAACTGAACGCATAATGCTCATTTGTGTTCATTGGATGCGTTTTATTGCCTGAATTGAAATGAAGCAATTCTGTGTTTTTTGTTCTCGCTAGAATTGTATCGATTTCGACGGCTCTCTCTCAAGTTAAACTTCAGTAAACATCATCAGTTGGTTTGCTGTACTGAAGCAGAAAAAAATAAATAAATTAAGAACGCTGATTGTTTACGTTTATAGAAAGTCGACTGACTCAATGCGTTTCAATCGAAAAACCAGCCTTTGAAAACATAATTTATGATGAATACACAAGGCTTAATTTTCATTTTGTAAATGTGCTCAGCGCTATTGTCCGTCCCTCGTTCGCTCGCAGTCACTCAATTTGCCAGTGCCTCCGTCCTCTCCTCTGCACGCAATCCATCCCTCCCTCCGCCTATGCTGGCTGTCATATCAGTTTATTGCCACTGTAATTGATGTAATCTTGCTATTTTCATTCATTCATCAACTTCGTGTTTTCATGACATTATTCCACATTAATTCACAGCAACACTACACGCATAAATACACACATCAAATGAATTCATCGAATATTCCACCACTCTGCAATATTCCGATGCAGTCACATATGCTCCGCGCACACATTGCAACTTCTGTTTGTCAATAGACTCGACTCACCCATCTATCACAAATAATTTCCGGTTTGTGCTCTTGTATAAGCGCATCACAAGCAGGGCCACACAAATTTTGTATTGTTTGATTGATCACGTTTTTTTAACCCTCTATTATGTGTTGGAATTCATAGTATGTGATGTGGAGTCCGCGAGCATTGCTTCCGTTGTTTTCACCGTTCCAGTCAGCAAAAAAATAAAAATAAAATGTTGGCCGTTCCATCCATCTTCCTACTATTTTTGTCTATCGTCCTCATATTTTTGCCACTAAAATCAAATGTCACCGCATTTTTTGAGTCGAATGTCACATTCCAAATTGGAACAAAATGAATGAGTTCGGTTTTCGTCGACTCCCCTTATTTTTATTCACTATTTAGGGCTCTCACCATTATTACCTCTCTCGCCTTTCTTTCAGTTTTTTATTTTGTTCACCCGTATTG